AAAAATAAACAAATTTTAGATTATATCTCTAGAAATCCCATAAAACTTCACATAATTGTTCACTAGGAACAATGAATCAAGTTTGTGCTGGAATTCAGACATTTTGAAGCGCACCTTTTTCTTCAAAATAGTCCATATTTTTCAATAAATTATAACATTTTTTTTTCCTTGATTTGTTCTCCGTCGATCTTGTTTTTCGTACTGAGCACCAATGCTACCGACGCCAGAAAGGCAGCTCCCACACCTGGACCCTACATATCGATCCATCAACTATGAACCGAAGACCAACGGCTTTACTTCCCTTCCGATGTTATGCCTCAGAACATCCCGGCTGCGCTGACTGGGATTGGACCCAGGCATGCTGTGGTGAGAGGTAATCACGCTTACCACTACACCACCGGCGCCGCTAAGTTATAACATGAAACGTCACTTCTAATTGAAATGACGTCTGAGACAAAGTTGTTGGAAAAACAAGACTTCTAGGGAAAGCATACACGAGTAAACAATATTAGTAATTTATGGTAAATAATTCAAAAAAGGTTTGAAAAATTTAAATAACAAATACCCAACGAACAATTTTAGCTGCAGGTCAGTTTATACAGATAATAGCTGCAAAAAGCAAATGTTGGCTGTTTAATCTAGTCTGCAGTTAAAATTTGTTTGTTTGGTAATGCCCCCTTTCAATTCTTTTTGTTTGTCTGTTACCTTTATACTTATTAAAACCGTTATTTTCCCCCTAGAGATACCGTATGCGTGATAATGTTTGCACCATCGTACAAATAAGGTTCCCGTTTCACCTGTGCATACAATGCCTTGGTTTTCTTTGCATGCACGTAACCTATAGCTCATATCGTAGTAGGCTATGTATAAAAGAAATGATTTCTTAGTTTGACAGTTGCACCATGACGAAGTGGCAGCGTATTCGTGATTTGTCCCAAGATCGTAAAGGAAGATTGCGAGGCGGAGTCGAGGGCACGGAAAATAACTCACATGATTACCAACCGCATCTGGGAGCTACGAGTCGAACGATGCAAGAAAATCTTGAAGTTCCTTAAGCGAAAAAATCCGGTAATCCTGTTCACCGACGAGAGCATGTTTACCGTCGATCCCGTATCAAATTCCAGAACCGACCGGTATATTAGTTCTCTTCCGATAAAGGACGTGGCCGACAAGCACAAGAACGTGTACCTGACCAAGCATCCTGCTAGCGTTATGGTGTTTGGATTGGTGGCTTCCGATGGCAAAACACCTGTACCTGGAGAGAAATGGATCCAGACTACATTATTAGAACCTGCCGTGCATTTCGGAAGCGTGTGGAGGGCATAATTGCAGCAAGTGGAAACTCGATCGATGATTAACAAAGTTTAAGATTCTGAGAAAGATCCCCCCTTTGAATAAATAAAAAAACTCAAAAACGAAATTTTTTGAGAATTTTTTAAGTTTTGACATTGCTCAATGGTGCAAACATTATCACGCATACGGTATTTTATTTTTTCTACAACTTTGTCTGAGACGTAATTTTGATTTAATGTGACGTTTTAGTGCTAAGATTTTTGGAAAAATATCTCAAACGCCGTTTTTTCAAAGTTGTTTATTTTTTTTTCCAAATTGTGAATTATTTTCCATAACAAGCAATTGTGCAATGTTTCAGGCAAATCGGAGGAGGTCGAGTTGATATTTTTTTTTTACTATTTGGCCTGGAACTGCCCGTTTGTTAATGGAGTAGTTCCAGGCAAAATTGAAAAAAATAAATAATTTATGGAGTTGGTTGAAAATGCTATCTAACATGAAGCTTCAGTGCGATAATTTATAAGCTAGAGAAGGGTCTGAAGAGGGAAGGTAGATAGATCCGGTAGAGTACGGCAGTATGAAAATTCAATAGAAGTTGAAAATGAGCGAAGGCCCGTTAATGCAACAGTACTAGTCAAACGCACGCTTCTTTACCTAACACATCAATGGATTAGGAGATTTGAAGTATTTCTTCAAATCTACAGGAAATACTTCAAATCTCCTTATCCATTGATGTGTTAGGTAAAGAAGCAAGCAGGCAAGCATTCGAAGGAGGTCAAATCTGAGTAAGACTTGAAGAAAAAGTGGGTTTCCGTACGTACAGAAGAAGCTGCAGCCAGATGTTGTACAGAACCCAATGAGTGGAGTTAAGCGTAAGGTGCGAGTGTACGGTTATGGTATTGAAGTTGAATGAAATAAATATGCCAAAAGCTTACTAATGGGTTACATTGTCTGAAAATTTGAAAAGGATCGGTCAACTAGGTAATTTTCTACAGCGTTCTTTTCCGTGATGTAATTTGATGTGGGACACCCTTTAGCACAAGATAGGAGCAAGTTCAAAGAAACCACTAAAAATCTGTATAGTAACATGATGGAGTCGAAATTTGAGACTAGCAGCGACTCTGACTGGGATAGTGAAACAGAAGATCTAGTCTCTTCAGACTTTTCCTGATTCAGTGTTAAGGACCCCATCATGAGAGTAACCGATTCTGGCGAAGAAGTCGGTTCGAGGCAACGACAATAACAACCCACAGAGCATCCCCAGTCAACTGATGATCTAGCAACACAAGTTAGCCTAGAATTTCATAGGTAAATCATGCTACCCCAATAGATCCCTATTCAAATGTGTTAGCAGTATCTTTTTAACCACTATTGGTTGTCTCTTCTGGCGGTCGTGTAGCGGATCTATTGGACAGAGCAGGCGCAGACAACTGAGCCCCAAACGGCTGCAATCTGTGGTTCACTTAAAAATCTGCTATTTATCAATTTTATCTAGATGAACGCGTTATTGGGACGTTACTAATTGATATTTTTGGTTGCTATTGAAAATTTAGTCGATTGCTGAATTTACGTATGGGCCCAAATTAGGGACACTTAGGCCGACATTACCTGCATTTCCCCTATATGTACCTGCTAATCTATCTGATTGCATCGTAATTCTAAAGCACAAAATTTTGGCTGTATCCCATAGGAACATATGTTTCACTTTTAGGACCACAGTTAAATTATGGACAGCAATAAATAAATGAGCTAGGTATGATTTCATATAATGAGAATCCAGCCATAAAAATTTTATTCTGCCATCGGCGTGAAGGAATTCAAGAAAAAAAAATATTAAATAACATTGATTTTCCACCAGAAAAACACAAAACGACTACTCACTCATCTGGTCGTATCTCAAAAACTATTTGTCCAAATAGTTTGCCCTTCGAAACACACCAAGTAGAAGAGTTTTCCAAAGTGTGTTGAAATTTTGAGCCCAAATTAATTAAGAAATAAAAAATCCCGCCCACGGTGAATTTTTTTTGACAACTTCGATACCTGCCGGTAATCAGTCTATTTACTGTAGTTACTAAACAAAAACAAAATGTGGGTACATCTATGTGCATCTGCATTAAAAAACCTTTAAATTGACGTTCTAAGATCACAAATAGCTTATTTGGTTGTGGAGGGATCTCTTCTGAAAGATAATTTTTTTGAAATCTCAAATATCCAGGGTTGTAGCCCAGAAGGATCTAGGCACTTTAGAGTAAAATAAAAAAAGGCGTTTGTTCAGAATGAAAAAAAAAACGCATTTTGGCCAAGTTTGGCACAAATCGGTGACATCGACCACAGCTTTTTAAAATTCTGTTCCCACTTGAGCTGGAATGACCCATATTTTATATCATTTTGAACTCGTTATCTGTGCAATAAATACAAAACAAAATTGCGCAGTAAAAAGTTCAAAAATTTTACCAAAGTTTTTTTGAAGGATTTTTGTCAATTTTTAAGTGCTTACGCTTTTCAATATTTCCAAATTTTTGCATTTTCCACAAGCTGTTTTTTCAAAGAGAGCATCGAACAGTAATCTTTTTTGTTATTAAAGTTTTTAAGACTTAAAATTTAACTTTTGGATTTTTTCTCGAAATTATAAAAAAAAAAAGATTTGCCGTGGATATTTTTCCACGAAAGAATTTATATTTCCCTACAACGTTGTCTCAGAAGTCATTGCAATTTTAAGTGACATTTTCGCGCTACGATTTACCGATAAATGACAAACACGCCATTTTGAAAGAGATGAGAGAATTTCAGCACAAATGGGAATGGTTGCCCTTAACATACAATTATGCAAAGTTTCATGCAAATCGGAGCAGGTCGAGTCTGATCGATTCATCATTTGACGTATGAACTGTGCTATTGTTGAAAATCTAAAATAGTCTATAGTTGAAATTTCGACAATTTCTTGCGATCAACCTGCAATAGTAATTGCAGTAGGGACCCGATTCTGTCCGCTCCCCTTTTCTTTTCTAATGTTTTACGAAACAAATCCGCTTTTTACGTGGTCTTATTGCACCAAAGTTTACCTTAAACATCCATATTGAAGATGAATGAGGAAGATTTGGAATGACGACGGTCCTGTGAAATTATTGAAAGATAAATATCTGATGCGCAAAGGGGCTGACAAAATCGGGTCATTACTGCATCATGTAATAAAGTTCCTTTTTAAAACTTCAAAGATAGAAGAGAGTAAATGTAGAGGATGCTTGGTTTGCCGTTGTGCTGCTGTTCTTTCTGCTAACTTTTCGAATATGATCGGCAATTAGTGTTCATTAATGATGCTAGGAAAGTTGTTTAAGTCTTCGGTTCGCGAACAGGAGGCAACTTTCACTTTGCAAACGTGCTCTCGAACACAGTCTGTATTATAATGGTGTATTTTGCGCATGTTCATTCACAAAACGAGAAAGTGAGGACGTAAGTGCTGGAAATGTGTAGTCAAAGGAATATTTTTGAGAGAAAGGAGACGAAAAAAACTTGTGTGCTATTATTCATTTGTTGAAAATAAGAAAGTTCACAAGGGACGGAATAATGTCGAAGGAGTGAGAAGGAGTATTAAGAAATATGTTCATTCAGTGTTAGTAAGAGAACTAAATTAGTTGAATTGGGAAAAGCAATAACTGGAAAAATGCTCGCTTTTTCACGGTCGAGCACGTTTTCCCATTCAGAACAGAGACCTGGCCCAAACCGGTGCACGTAGTTTTCGCCTCTGAATGACGGTTTTTCCAATCGGTGGTCCCGTGGGACCACTGTGGGTGGGCGGGGCCGAAGTCGTGACGCCCCGCCTGGGTTCCTTACTGGTGGCATTGCTGACGTTGCTACTGTCTCCTGCGGTACCGACGTTGTTAGTGTTAGCACCACCACCACCACCACCACAACCACCTCTGCTGTTTGCCGCATTTACATCACCACCGCCACCGCCTTCCTCTTGACTGGGTCATCGGTCATCGTCGCATTTCGATATCGATTCGGGCGGGTTCGAGTAGCAGTGATGATTTTGATTTATTTTTTCGTTTTGCAATTTTTAAAATGGAACCATTTGTCATCACACCATGACAGCGAAATTAAAAATTGCAATTAGCAGCATAACAGCGAGGGTTAGTGATATCGATTTTGGATTTTTGGGGTTTTTCATTTGTTTGCGAGAGTCATACAACATTTCAGGTCAGAGTTGAACGAAAAGAAAAGAAAAAGTTGTCTTATAGCTATGGGTTCTTCTGGTGACTTATTGACTAGATAAGCTTACAGTACTAATGGATGAGAGCAATAATGGGTGACCAAATGGCTGCAATGGAAATCGTTCCGTTTATTTTGAATCATTCTTTCTTTTCATCGCCAATAGTAGAATCAATGCATAATTCAACCAACAAAATCACAGCGGGGTCGCTTGATGTGCATTCTGCCAATGGAAAGTTCTATCCCTTTTTCCTCGATGACCCAACGAAATTCAAACAGCAGGGGGTGTATTCGTTTTGTGGGCAAGTGCTGATAAAACATTCAACACCATTCAGCATTGATGCAAGTTCCAACTGCGCTCAGAGAACCGCAACACTACTGATCATGGCTTTCAATTGAATTGCTTTCACGGCACCTCTCCAGGGAATAGCTTTTCATGGATGATGCTATTAAATTTCCGATGGATCGAAATGAATGTGTTGAAAGAGAATTAGTATTTTGTCTGTGAATACTATATAGAACACTTATATTCATGGAAAGTTGAATATGGAAAACAGTTTCTCTTTTGTTTTGTCTAGAGTTATACAATCTGGAGAGAATCATTGTTGCGGTTCCATTTACGATTTTGTCAAAACTGAGTTTGGAATGGAGTCAATGGAAATGGTAGATAATCACCCATATTTTCATAATACTCGATGCACTCAACACATTTGTTTTCGAAAAGTTTAGAAAAGTAGCCAAACGGGTTGTCACAATACATAGGAAGCAGTGCTTCCGCGGGAAGCGTTAAGATGTCGTTTGATTTGATTGAAGTTTATCTCGTTTGAAACTACATTGCAAAGACGTTTCTGCAGGGACACAGAAACAACGTTTCAAGTATTGTATTACGCGGCACATCGACCTGCATTCCTAACTGTATTTGAGATAGATTTTTTTTGTTGGAATCTGTATGATTTTATGATCAAATTGTTTGTCAGGTTATTGATTTAGAGTTTTTGGCCGATGGAGCTTGTATTGTCTGAATACCAAGGCTGCAAAATGCGTGTCGGTGCTGTGAGCAAGCACGCTTCTCTGCAACGGATCAGCCGTCCGGTGTCACAACATCGACACGAATTTTGCACCCTTCGCATTCTGACTTGAGATCTTGAAATAAATTTGCAATCTTGCCATTATTGATCCTCATTTGTGGTATTCTTATAGAATTATTCGAAGGTAGTTGAACTCAAAAGGATGTTACCAACGATTTGGAGATTTTTCCACGTTCACATTCGCTGATCTCTGAATTGGTTTACATTTCCGTTTTTGCTACTTTTATATGTTCAAAGACATTTTCAACATACAGTTTTAGAAGGTTCTGGCTGGGCATCTAGAAGATGCCCAAAGATTTGTGATCGACAATGTAATCCAAAGTGTGTTTAAATAATTCTCAAAGAATTACAAACATATCTGGTCTCTGAAAAAAATCGGGAAATAAGCGGTAAACCAACCAATGATCAAAAAAGCCCCTTTAATAAAGAAAACAAAAGAAGACTCGTGAAATCACTGCAAACGACTATTTAGCTTCCAATGTTTGTTAAGTGCCTAGAGGAATATTATGTGGATTTATAAATTTAATTTCGGGCATATCCTGAGGAATCCTATGAGTTTTCCCAGGGAATTTTGTGACGATCCCCTAATAAATCCTAAGATGAAAGTTTCTGATAGGATTCCCACAAAAATCCTGAGAGCATTTCCAGAGAAATCTTGAAAAAATTCCAAGACTAATCCGGTGAAGGTTCATTGAGAACTCTTGAGAGGATTTCCAGAGAAAAAATGAGAGAATTCCCAGAGGAACCCTGAGAACATTCCCTCAGTAATCCTTGGCAAAGCCTGAATGGAATTTCTAGAGTATTTCCAAAGGCAACCTGAAATGTTTAGCAGAACAGTGCTGACACGATTTCTGTTTATGTTTCAATTCCTCAAATAACACCCATTAGATGGTTAACTTTGTTTTTTGTTTTTTTCACTTAAATTTGAAAGGGTTTCCAGCGAAATTCCAAGAAGATATAAGTAATACTGTGGGGATTCTTATAGAAATTTTGAAAACATTCGAAATGCTCATCACCATCTTTTGTGAGAGGATTCCCAGAAGAACCCCAAAAGAATCCAGGAATAATCCGAAAAGGATTCAGAGAGGAATCCTGATTTGATTTCCTTGAGAAATTTGTAGTGGATTCCCTGAGAAATCTTGAAAGAAATCCTAAGCGATATTTGAAAAAAAAATCTCAGAGGAATTTTGATAGTATTATCAAAGGTATCTGGAGATGATTCCAAGGCCTGATTGGATTGTTATCGGCAGTATGATATGATTCTCATGGGATATTTCATAGTATTCACTAAGAAATGCTGAGAAGATTTCCTGATGAGTCGGTAGAAGAATACTACAGGAAACATGTTTGCATTCCCTGAGGATTCTTGGAGGATTCCTCGAAAAAAGAGAATTTCCAAAGAAGTTCTTAGATGATTCCCACATAAATACAAAGAGAATTCTCATACAAATCTTGAGAGGATCCCAAGAGTAATCCTAATATGGTTTTCAGAGGATTCCTGAATTAAATGGAATGAAAGGATAATCAAGAGATTATTCTAAAAGGGCTGATAGGATTTCAAGAGGAATCCAGAGAGAATTGCGGTAACAATCCTGAAAGGATTCCCAGCAGAAATCCAGAGAGAATTCTCAAATGAATCGACGGGGATTCAAAGAGGAATACTTTGAAGATTCAAATGGAAATGATGAGAACCCAAGCAGCACACTTCCATCACAATAAGTTACTGCAACTTGTTTGTGACTGGAATAAGTTGCATACAAGTAACCACAATTTTTCAGTGACATGTTTGCTGCTAGGGAAGATTCCTTGAATAATTAAGTAAGGATTCCCAGAGAAAAATATCCTCGATAGGAATCCTGAGAGGATTCTCACTACCGAGAAAATTCTTATTGAAATTCATGGATCTGTTCTCAAAAAAATCCTGAGTGGATTTATAGAGGAATCCTGAGTAGATTTAGAAGAGAATTCTAAAAACATTTTCAGAGAAGTTCTGACAGCATTTTCAGATGTATCCAGAGAGGATTCTTGGAATATTTACAAGTTAATTCTTAAAGGAGTTTTAGACGAATCCTGATAGTATTTTCAGAGATATCCTAAGGTAATTCCCCAAAATGCTGAGAGGGTTCCTCCCAAGAATCCTAAGAGGCTTCCTCAATGAATCCTAAAAGAATTCCTCCATGAATTCTGAGAGAATTTCCCCAAGAATCCTGAAAGGATTTCCCAGCAAAAATCGTGAGAAGATTCTCAGATTCAAACCCGGAAATGATTCACTAACAAATTTCGATGAGTTCCAGAGTGTGCATTCCATGATTTTCATATGCATCTGATGGACATCCTATATGCATCTTGCGAATGAAGATTCCCATAACAATCCTTCGAAATCCTTCAAAAATTCCCAGAGGAGTCCTGAGAGGATTCCTGGTGTAAGCATAAAAGGAATCCTAGAGCAAGCCTATGAGAATTTTCAGATAAATCCTGAAAGAATTTTCAGAGGAATCCTAAGGAGATTTTCAGAGGAATCCTGATAAGATCTTAAGATGAATCCTGAACGAATTCCCATAAGAATCCTAAGACGATTTTCAAAGGAATCCTGAGAGGATCCTCAGATGAACCCTGAGGGGATTCTCCGAGGAACTCTGAGAGGATTCTCAGAAAAATCCTGATAGGATTCTGATAGGAATCCTGAAAGAATTCTCCAAGGAATCCTGAGAGAGGATTCCTGAAGAATGTTGAGTGGATTTTCCGAGGCAATCGGAGGGGAATCTCCGAGAAAACCTGAGAGGATTAACCTGAGAATCCTGAGAGGATTCACCTAAGAATCCTGGGAGGATTCTTCGAAGCATCCTGATAGGATTCTTATAAGAATGCTTAGAGGTTCTTAGAGGAATCCGGAGAGGATTATCAGATGAATCCGGCTCAGAGGAATCCTAAGAGGTTGCTCTAAGGAATCCTAAGAGGTTGCTCTAAGGAATCCTTAGAATATTATCAGAGAAATCCTGAGCAGATTCGCACAAGAATTCTATGAAGATTTTCAGAAAAAAACCTGAGAGAATTTCCAGATTATCAGAGAGGATTCTCCGAGGAATCCTGAGAAGATTCTCCGAGAAATCTTGAGAGGATTCTCCTAAGAATCCTGAGAGGATTCTCCTAAGAATACTGAGAGGATTCTCTTATGATTCCTGAGAGGATTCTTCGAGGAATCCTAATAGGATTCTCCGAAGAATCTTGAGTGGATTTTCCGAGGAAATCGGAAGGGAATCTCCGAGGAATCCTGAGAGGATTCTCTGAGGAATGCTGAAAGGATTCTCCAAGGAATGCTGAGAGGATTCTCCGAGGAATCCTGAGAGGATTCTCACAAGAATTCTAAGAGGTTCTCAGAGGAATCCAGATGAATCCGGAAAGGATTCTCTAAGGAAGATTATCAAAGAAATCTTGAGCGCATTCGCATAAGAATTCTAAGAAGATTTTCAGAGAAAACCTGAGAAAATTTTCAGAGAAATCCTGAGAGGATGCTCAGATGAACCATGAGAGAATTCTCCGAGGAATCCTGAGAGGATTCTCCTAAGAATTCATAGAAGATCCTCTGATTCTCCAAGGAATCCTGAGAGGATTATCCAAGGTATCCTGAGAGTTTTTCTGAGGAATCCGGAGAGGATTCTCAGAGGAATCCGGAGAGAATTCCCAGAGGAATTCTGAGAAGATTTTCAGATGAATCCCGAGAGGATTCTCAGAAGAATCCTGAGAGGATTCTCAGAGTTATCCTGAGAGAAACAGCAAAAAAGGTTATCTTCCATTTAATTCCACTTAATTAATTTTGGTATCCATGACAGATACGTATTTCGACTACAATATGCAGTCTTCATCAGTGTCATTCCCACTAAAGAACTTATCAAAATCTAATCCTAAGAAGATTTTCAGAGAAATACCTGAGAAAATTTTCAGAGGAATCCTGAGAGGATCCTCAGATGAACCATTATAGAATTCTCAGAGGAATCCTGAGAGGATTCTCATAGGTTTCCTGAGAGGATTTTCAGAGGAATCCTGAGAGGATTCTTGGAGGAATCCTGAGAGGATTCTCAGAGGAATCCTGAGAGGATTCTCAGAGAAATCCTTAGAGGATTCTCAGAGGAATCCTGAGAGGATTCTCAGAGAAATCCTTAGAGGTTTATCATAGGAATCCTGAGAGGATTCTTAGAGGAATCCTGAGAGGATTCTCAGAGGAATCCTGAGAGGATTCTCAGAGGAATCCTGAGAGGATTCTCAGATGAATCCTGATAGGATTATCAGAGGAATCCTGTGAGGATTCTCAGAGAAATCCAGAGAGGATTCTCAGAGGTTTCCTGAGAGGATTCTCAGAGGAATCCTGAGAGGATTCTCGGAGGAATCCTGAAAGGATTCTCAGAGAAATCCAGAGAGGATTCTCAGAGGTTTCCTGAGAGGATTCTCAGAGGAATCCTGAGAGGATTCTCGGAGAAATCCAGAGAGGGTTCTCGAAGGAATCCTGAGAGGATTCTCAGAGGAATACCGAGTTCATATGCAGACGAATCCTGAGTGGATTTTCAGACGAATCTTGAGTGGATTTTCAGTAGAATCCTGAGTGGATTCTCAGAGGAAGCCTGAGACGATAATCCGAGGAATCCTATTGGGAGCCTCAGAGGAATCCAGTGAGGATGCTTAGAGAAATCCGGAAAGGATTCTCAGAATTATTCTCAGAGGAACCCTGACAGGATTATCCTTTTGTTATATTCTCGTTTTTTTAAATTATTCCAGGAAAAATATTAAACGTATTTTTAAGAAAATATTTTTAGCGAATTTTTAAAAGCAGTTTTTTTTTATGAGTGATTCATGGATTCTGTAAACATATCTTACGTTAATTTTCGACGGATTGCTGTAAGGATTCATAATTGGGGAATTACTGCGGAAGATTTCTTCGGATAAACTTCTGTGAAATCTCCCGATGAGTCCCAGTGGAATCTATTCATGAGATTCAGTTAAATTTTAGGATTTCAATTTATTAATTATTATGCTTTAGCGGTTGTGTTCCAGAGGAGCAAGGGTTCACTTTGCAAATCTAAAACGATGCAATGTTTTTAAGGACAGCAACAAAAGGTTACCTTCCAGTTAATTCCACTTAATTAATGTTTTATGCATGACATATTTCGACTACAATGGGCAGTCTGCCTCAGTGTCAATTCCACTGATAAAGACTGCACATTGTAGTCAAAATACGTATCTGTCATGGATGCATAAGTTAATTAAATGGAATTAAATTGAAGATATCTTGTTTATTGCTGTTTTTGAGTTTTGTTTGTTTTGCTGTTTCACAAAAACTCAATGAAATACAATTACAATTTTGTTTCCATCTAATGCTGAGGTACCAAGCATCGTTTTATGGTTAACATAAAGCTTGTGTTTACCAGGAAACCAAAAATATAGGTGTTCATTTGTTTTGACCAATGGTTGGTGTGTACATTCATTAAATATAATATTTTGATTATTTACTGAACGCAACTGCAAACCAAACTTCATCGTATGGGTCAGCCATGGGTAATATATTTAATACCCCTTTGAAGTGAAAATTTGTCGATGCGGCTTTTCCTTATACTAAACCTGCTCCGCTTTCATTAGTGGTATTTAATGGGAGTGACCGCTTTTTCCGTGCCAGGGCTTGCACTAAATTGTGCCATTTCTAGTTCTCTACCTGATCGGCTGCTTGCAACGTACCGTTAGCATGCAGTTTTTGTAATATAGGTATCATTCGGTATTCATAGCAACACGGTTGTACTCAGGGTTTGGAAATTCCTTTTGTTCACGAGCAAATTGCCGCTTCTTTATATCTTGCTATTTCAAAGGTGGTTTCATCGTTACATGTAACATTGTTATATTTATAGAAATTCTCGGATGTTTGTGGCTGGGCTCACAAGAAAGACTTTACATTTTAGGAAGATTTGGAAATTTTAAGATCTCACCCTTCCTTTTACCAATCGATTGCTATCGCTGCTGTTCACATCGATTTCATTCCCTGGCTGCTTCCCTGACAAATGCTATAAAACAAGGGCATATTGAATTTGTAATGAACCCAGCCGTAGCCATAAATGTAAATACAAATGAATTCCAAAGTGAGCGGCCGGTTCGTTTATATCGCCAAACAACCACGCGTTTGTATTAATTTATTGATTCGCGAAAACTCGGTTTTATGCTGTTTCATTGAATGATAAAAATCCCACAAACACAGCAGAAAAAAAAACAAAGCCCTGCTCGCACCATATAAAAATGAATTATATTTGATCCGCTTTGTTTTCATAAGTCGATTTTCCCCGACAGAATGAAGCACTTGCCAGAGCGTGGTTTACTTCATTGGCGAAGGAAAACAGCAAAAGGAAAATCTCTTGGATTGGACCGAAAAAAAAAGCAAAAGTTCGGAACGATTTCCATATTGACCGATTGGAAGATGATGTCATTATGGATGATGGTCAAAATGAGCGATGATACTGATGAATGAGAATCCACATCTTCGTTTTTCCTTCTCCCTGGCCAAAGCGTTCTTTGGCTCAGTGGGTTTAGGGAGGAATGAAAAATGAAGATGACTAGTGGAAATCTGATTTCTCCCGCAGCGTCAGCAATCAGGATCAGTTCATATTTTTTTTTCCTGTGCTACTCTACCGACACTGACACTGAGAATGTGTTAGCGAGAAAGAGAATAAATGTACGACGAACGATGCCTTCCTAGAGAAGAGTACTCTAGGAGAAAAAAACGATTGATAGATTATGTATAAAGTTACGGTATGGTGTGTGTGTGGGAGCTCACCGAAAGGAATACTTACTTTGTCTCGTCGATGAAAACGGCTTCAAGTACGCGGGCAGCGTAATGAAGGTTTTTCTGCAGCAGTTCAGCGGATATTTCACCGCGCTGCAGCTGCCGCAAAAGACAACGGAGTCTGGAAAGGAAGAAGAGAAGGCAAACTTTGATGACATTGTTTGAAAATGGGTTGATTGTTATGGACATTTAATAATTTATGTTGAGTAGAGTAAGAACACGTTGGATAAGCTTGTGAAGTTGGAATATAGTTCGGAATAATTTTATCCCTAGACAAATTAAAAAAATAAATAAAAATATACGATTCGGAAACATTGCAATGTTACAAAAAATTAACCGTACCCGTATTGTCTCACATTTATTTATTAATTTCATCAACCGATGTAGACTAGTACAAATACATATACAAATTTGTTTTTCTTAAGAATATTAAAAATGAATTGTCTGCCATTCTATTTCTACTTCTTACGAGTTATGGTTCCGTATGGAGTAAACATATTGTTTTAGTTTAAGCTAAGGCATTTAAAAGTCAATGGTTTCGCAGTATTGATTTTAAGACGCCATCATACGATTTAATGGGCCAAATTTTGCATAATTTGTGCACTGATGGTTATGGTAAATAAATTTCGATTTCTGAGTTGTCAAGTAGGTATATAAAATTTTATTTTGATAAAAGTTCTGCTGAGTTAATGCGCTGCGAAACGATATCGTTTACAAAAGAAACCATTGCATATTCACGTCTCTTTTAATGTTTATAAGCAAGCAGCGTGCTTCCTATGATGGAAGAGGAAATGATGTCCAACCTAATTTACGAAGGGCGCTGTCGTGACCTGGCCGAGATTTCAAGCCTCGGCCATGTGTCTTAACAAAGACCAGTGAGGTGCACATCCGTGCGCTACAACATTCTTTAAATGACTCCGACTTTAAAATTCGAATTTATCCAGTAATTTGAATTATTTAAACTTATGTCTAAACAACACTCCACGACTATTTGTATGAGCTTACCAGGCTCTTAGTGTAAAGAAAAGTTCTTGAACTAAATAAACATCATCAAATAAATATCGAATAACTAATTAATTTTCTTCTTAAATAGCTCCGACTTGATTATTCGCATACGTTCAGAATCAAATCAGCATCAATTGACTAATTCATCTTCCATCGAATTATCTCTGAGTTTCAAGCATTCATTTCACGCAATTATTAACTCATTATTCTTTAAACTAAAAGCCTGGTACGCAAAATACAATTAGTCACTGTGTGTAGTTTGATAATTATTTAAAATGAAAATGAGAATTACTTTAAAGAAAAATGAGTTAATAAGTCGGAGATAAATAAGTTAGAAATTACGTGAAATGAAAGCTTGAAAGTCAGAGAAACTTCATTGCAAAAATATCTAGTAATTTGTTTTTATTTGATTCTGAATTATTAGATATTAGTGATTTGAAGTCTGAGCTACTTCAATGAAAGATGAATTAGTAAGTTGATGCTGACTTAACGATTTTGGTTTACCACATGCGTATAGTAGAAATTGTTTTTGTATTGATTGCAATCTTTCTTCGTGCGTGATTGCAAATTTAGACCATACAATGCTGCAATATTCCAGCATTGACCTCACATAGGCAATATATAGTGTTTTAATAATGTATGGGTTCTGAAAGTTATAGGAAAAGCGATTGAAAAAGCCTAGCATGTTATTTGCCCTGTGAATAATTGTATTGTAATGGTCTATGAAAGTTAGTTTGGAGTCTAAGATGATCCCCAAATCCCTTACTCTTTCACATTTTTCTACATTCTGATTACCTAATGCAATTGAAATGTTTGATAGTGTTCTTTTTCTGCTAAATGATATTAAGTTGCATTTTTTTTTACATTCAGTTTTAAACGGCTTTTTTACACCATGTATTTCACTCTGGAATATATTGATGTTTTCATCATTTATTATTCCTTAAAGCATCATGTCGTCCGCATAGATTAGCATTTTTTTTTTAGAATGAAGGAAATGTCGTTTACATACAGAATAAAAAGAAAGTCTTGGGGACTCCTGATGTGACTTGAATCGGGGCCGATCTCTTTCCGTTGAATTTAATTATTTGATGGCGGTTAGTTAATTAGCGGATATTTAAGTGTGCATCGTGTGGCTTTGCTACTTGTGCTATTTCAAGTCGTAGTTTTATTCGTTATTTTTCGTGTCTTATCTAGTCAAAAATATTTATTTCTTGACCAAGTTTTTCGTTTTAATCATCCGGACATTATTGTTAAAAAATTGTGCTCGTAAAGTAGTTATTCGAAGTACAATTTAACTGTTTTTGTCCGCGCTGTGCTGTGCTATAGAGTTGTTTTTGTTCATTCTTCACCTACGTGCTATTGTTGAAACAGCACTCAATCATCCTGAGCTTGTTTGTCATCACCGTCCTACCGCCAACTTTTGTTCCTGCAAGAAGTCTAAATAAAGGCGTTTGACCATTCAACTGCCAGCATGGAGACAAATTGTGCCAAGTGCTCGTTGGAAATTACTGGCATTGAGTATGTGACCTGCCGAGGATACTGTGGCAGTGTGTTTCACATGACGTGTTCCGGAGTGTCTCGTGCCCTGTCTGGTTACTTCACATCCCATCGGAAAAACCTCTTTTGGATGTGCGATAAATGTGCGGAACTTTTTGAGAATTCGCACCTCCGATCCATCACCAATTTGGCAGTTGAAAAATCATCGCTGCTTTCTCTCAAGGAAGCTATCACGAATTTGCAGACGGAAATTAAACAGTTGTCATCAAAGCCTGTCCCGTTAATTCTGCCACCTGCTGTCAACTGATGGCCAACACTTGAAGCAACTCGACCATCAAAACGATTTCGTGGATCCGACTCTGTGGTGCCTAAAACATCTGAGTGTCAGTCTGGCTCAAAACTGTTGGGTCAGAACGTCATCTCTGTACCTACATGTGAAAAACCGGCGGCAAAATTCTGGCTCTACTTGTCCCGTATCCAACGTGATGTGAGCAACGAAGCAATCTCTGAAATGGTGAAAGCCAACCTGGAACTCGAAAATGAACCTGATGTTGTGAAATTGGTCGCCAAAGGAACCGACACCAGTAACATGACCTTTATTTCATTCAAAATCGGTCTAGACCCAGCTTTGAAGAAGAGAGCTTTGGATCCGTCATCTTGGCCCGAAGGAGTTCTATTCCGTGAATTCGAAGATCACTCGGCTCAAAAATTTCGGAGACCATCTGGTGTGAATCTAACACCCACGCCAGTGACACCGCAGACGACGTTTGCAGCAAATCAACCGATGGATGGACCCCGGGACGCGCAAAAATAAGCATTTTGGAAGCTTCTTATCCACTCAGCACAGTCGCGCCGAAAAATGGTGAATGCAGTCGAAGTCGTCCCGGCCCTGTGTCTGATGTGCGAGAAGAGGTCTTCCAGCTTGCTTGTCTAGGCAAGTATCAACATAATTTTCATAATTTCCTGCCTGATGATGATTCCCTCCTCAGATCACCAACTTGTTCTGCCGGGAGTACCTCCAGCCAACATGGACAACGCCTTGAACGTCCCCTACCTATGTCGGGACGCGCCGAAAATTCCTACACGCCGGCATCTCGTGACAACAGTTGTGGAATTGCTGGTGACAACGATGTTTGGCTTTACTTCCAAAACGTACGTGGTCTAAGAACCAAAATTGACGACCTGGTTGTAGCGGTATGTGATTGCAATTACGATGTCATCATATTGATAGAAACGGGCCTTGACGACAGCATCAACTCACTGCAACTTTTTGGTACTGACTTTAATGTATTTCGCTGCGATCGCAGTGCTCGTAATAGCCAGAAAGCGAAGTTTGGAGGAGTGCTTATTGCCGTGGCCAGCGTTTACAAGTCTGTTGAGATAAAGACTATTAATGGTAGTAACCTGGAACAAGTAAGTGTGTCTGCCTGTATTCGCGGAAAGCGGTTCGTGCTTTGCGCTGTATATATTCCTCCAGATCGTAGTCGGGACGTAGGAGTTATCGATGCCCATTTAGCTACTCTTCGTGAATTACGTGATGCAACTCCAGATGGTGACCTTTTGCTTGCTTGTGGTGACTACAATCAACCACACATAGCATGGGATTGTCTTGATGATGGAATCTTAAACCTTGATCCTTCCACGACGTCTGCTGCCAGTGCTGCTCTGATGGATGGAACGAGCTTCCTGAATATCCGGCAATACAACTCTATTCGCAATCACCTGGGGCGCATCCTAGATTTGGTTTTCTGTGATTCCGATTGCAACATTGTAGTTAACGAAGCGGTGTCCCCATTGCTGGCTATTGATTTGCATCATCCACCGATTTTATTCTCCATACCAACTCAATCCGATTGTGTTGACCGTGTGGAATCCCTTGATGCTGGTGAACATACGCTCGACTACTCAAAAATCGACTTCGTCATGCTCAACGAGTTCCTGATGAGCTGTGATTGGAGCAGTATTCTGGCAACAAATGACGTCAACGATATGGCAGCACAATTTTGCAACATAATTTGCAATTGGCTCACCGATAACACTCCAAGACGAAAACCTCCTATATCTCCTGCTTGGAGTTCTCCTCTCCTGCGGCTTTTGAAACGCGATAAAAATTCCTGGCAGCGTAAACTTCGCCGACATCGAACTTCTGAAACGAAACGCAACTTTCATCGCGCTTGCAACGCCTATCGTAAGCTTAATTCAACCCTATACAAGTCATATGTCTTGCGTGTCCAGACCAATTTACGTAGAAATCCCAAGAGCTTCTGGAAGTTTGTGAACTCCAAGCGAAAATCGTCGAATATTCCTTCATCCGTATTTTTTGGCGATTTGGAGTCCTACTTCTATGCTCGAATCGTGTGATCTATTTTCCCGCTACTTCAGTTCTGTTTTTTCGGATTCAGCCGCCAACTCAGATGAAGTAGAAAGAGCGGCTTGCAATGTTCCTGAGGGTCTCATCGATTTGCGTACATTTGTGGTTAGCAATATGTATGTCGTTAAAGCTGTTAGGAAGTTGAAGAAATCTGTTTCACCGGGTCCTGATGGTGTACCTGCAATCATTTTTTTTGCCGCTGTGTTGCTGTTTTAGCTGATCCCCTAGCTCGCATCTTTACCGCTTCG